ACCCACCAGCCACTAAGGACCCTACCAGTGCACAAATTTCATGCACTGGGCCTCTGGTACTTAATAAAAACGTATTTTATACTTGAAATTTGGTAAGGGAGTGATCATGTTTTTAGCACACTAAAAAAGTCATAGGTACGTGAGGTATACATACATACATCAAAACATCACGTTGTATTCCTTAAATATATACAGTTTTTATTGGTAAAGTATACTTTAATACAGCTGATGAACAAAACTAAAATGCAGATTCTAATTCAGAAGGTCTGATGCAGAAGTCTGGGGTAGGTGCCTGAGATTCTTAACTACGAATGCACTTTTAGATGTCGCTGATCTCTGAACGCCAACTTGTAAGGAGTACTGTCTCCTAAAAATGTCCTCACACAGGAATTGTAGGGGATTGTGCTGATAAAGTATAGTCAAGTAAGAGAGGTGTCTGGGACATGCATTCGAGTGCTTACTTGCTTGGAATATGAAAAGCCACATTGCCTCGTCAGTCCAAGATTGTGGTCTTTGGTGTACGGCTGATCTCTGTAACCATAATCAAAGTTGACAAGTCCTTTTAGCAGTTGAGACACCTGGGTCCGAGTGTATTATGTTATGTAAAATTCTGCTAGAGTTAACAGGGCCTTTCCCCCCAGAGTTCTGGTAGAGGACATGCCAGGTTCTTGACACATGGTGATATTTTTGTAAATAATATTCTATATCAATTGTGAAAGGAGAAAGCTCTCCGGGATTTTGCTCCCAGGCATTCGTCACAATCGAAGGTGCCCTGGCTGTTGTTCTCCTGGGCGCTGTTTGACTCAGTTTCCTGGTGAAAATAGCTGTGAGCTCTCCTGACAGGGGCAAGTGCTCTCCTGTCAGGTGACTGGAAAGAGTATGTTGTCTTCTGTTCTGAATGCTCCCTCCTGGGAGTGCTGTTTACTCTGTTCTCTTCGTTAGCATTTTTAAACGTAATAACAATAATTTAGAAAAGCTCCTGTTCAGAAACGCCATTATTTTAAACTATCAGATTTACTGACTTTTAAAGTATGTAAACAAACTGAAAACTGAACACGAGCCACCTCACTAATCTCATCCATGGAGAGTGTCAATTAGGAGGCTTTGGAAGAGGTGCACTCCTTGCCAATCGAAGTGGCAGTGTTGTTGATGACATTGGCTTTTGCAATTACAATGGTCCCTTCTCGGGAGTGCAGTTAGGGTGACTCCTTCCAGTCAGCTATTCCCAGCTGTTGTTTCTAAGGCTTCGCTTTCAGTCATCCAAGCCTGTCAGTTTGGCCTCTGTGGTGTTTCTGGGATCTGTTTTTAACTGTCCATTCCCACTGCAACTACCTTCTCATCCTCTCTCACCTGAGCCATGGTAAGAATGTGTCAAAGGGTTTCCATAGCTCCAGATCACCCCAACTCTAGTCCCTTCCATCACTTTCTGCTGGAAGCTTTCCACAACCCAGATCTGATCATTCCATTTCCTTCCTCAAGACTCATGCTGACTTTACAGGGCCTGCAGCGTAAACTGAGTCTTTTAGCAGCTTTTGCCTTCTACCAGCCAACAAGAGAGTGTCATTCTTCTTTTTTTTCCCCAACCTTTTAAAAAAATAATGTATTATGTATTGGTTTCACTTACTCTTAGTGGTTAGACAATCATATACTTTATATCATGTTCCCTTTGATAGTTCCAGTACCCCAACTGGTACCATACATAGTTATTATAATACTAGAGGCCCTGTGCACTAATTCATGCACCAGTGGGGTCTCTCGGCCTGGCCTGCAGGATCAGGCTGAAACCAGCTCTCCGACATCCCTCAAGGGGTCCCAGATTGTGAGAGGGTGCAGGCCAGACCGAGGGACCCCACCGGTGCATGATCAGGGCCAGGAGAGACACAGGAGGTTGGCCAGCCAGAGAGGGACCACAGGAGGGCTCCAGCGTGTGTCTGGCCCATCTTGCTCAGTCCCGATTGGCTGGATGCCAGTAGCAAGCTAACCTACTGGTTGGAGCATTTGCCTCCTGGTGGTTAGTGCATGTCATAGGGAGCGTTGAGTGGCCTTAGTATATCATTAGCATATTACGCTTTGATTGGTTGAATGGACGACCGGACAGTTAGAATATTAGGCTTTTATTATATAGAACTAGAGGCCCGGTGCACAAAAATTTGTGCACTCAGGGGGGGAGGGGAGGTCCCTCAGCCCGGCCTGTGTCCTCTCGCAGTCTGGGACCCCTCAGGAGATAACGACCTGCTGGCTTAGGCCTGCTCCCGGGTGGCAGAGGGCAGGCCCAATCCCTAGGTGCAGCCCCTGGTCGGGCTCAGAGCAGGGCCAATTGGGGAGTTGGGATGCCGTCCCCTGTCATGCACAGAGTAGGGCGGATCAGGAGGTTGCGATACCACCCTCAGTCACGCTCAGGGTAGGGCCGATTGGGGGTTTGGGGCACTGCCCCCTGTCACACTCAAGGCAGGGTCAATGGGGAGGTTGCGGCGCCACCCCCTGTCATGCACAGAGCAGGGCCAATCAGGGGGTTGGGGTGCTGCCCCCTGTGATGCACAGAGCAGGGCCCATCAGGGGGGTTGGGGCTCCGTACCCTGTCACGCACAGAGCAGGGCCCATCAGGGGGTTGGGGAGCTCCCCCCTGTCATGCACAGAGCAGGGCCCATCAGGGGGTTGGGGCGCCGCCCTCTATCACCCACAGAGCAGGGCCAATCAGGGGGTTGGGGCGCCGCCACTCTGACACTCAGGCCAGGGCCAGTGGGGAGGTTATGGCTCTACCCTGTCACACACAGAGCAGGGCCCGTGGGGGAGAGGGGTTGGGGCGCCGCACCCTGTCACACACAGAGCAGGGCCGATCAGGGGGTTGGGGCGCTGCACCCTGTCACACACAGATCCGCAGGGCGATCAGGGGGTTGGGGAGCTCCCCCCTATCAGGCACAGAGCAGGGCTGATCAGGGGGTTGGGGCACCTTCCCCTGTCACGAACAGAGCAGGGCAGATAGGGAGGTTGTGGCCCCGCCCCCTGTCACACACACAGCCACAGGGCGATCAGGGGGTTTGGGCGCTGCCCCCTGTCACACTGATCCCGGTGCTGGGAGGCCTCTCAGCTCCACTGATCCCGGTGCTGGGAAGCATATTACCCTTTTACTATATAGGATAGAGGCCTGGTGCACGGGTGGGGGCCAGCTGGTTTGCCCTGAAGGGTGTCCTGGATCAGGGTGGGGGTCCCCACTGGGGTGCCTGGCCAGCCTGGGTGAGGGGATGATGGCTGTTTGCAGCTGGTCACACACCCTTCAGGGTGGGGGTCCCCACGGGGATGCCTGGCCAGTCTGGGTGAGGGGCTGAGAGCTGTTTTCAGGCCGGTGGGTGACTGAAGCTCCCAACCGCTCCTTTTTTTCTTTTTGTTTTTATTCTGGGCCAGCTTTAGCTCTGGCTCCAGCTCTGAGGCCTCTGCTGCTGAAAGCAGGTATCTGGTTTGTTTAGGTTCTATAATCAAAACACTGTATCAACTCCAGCTCTGAGATCCTGGCCGGCTGAAAGCTGGTTTCTGGGGTTTTGTTTAGCTTCTATATTTGTTACAATGTTTCAAACTGCAAGCTCAGAGGCCGGCAAGGCAGGCAGGGAACGTTGGAGTCCTCCGTCACTGAAGCAAGCAAGCCTCATGTTAGCTTCCAGCTGCCTGGCTGCCGGCCGCCATCTTGGCTGGCAGTTAATTTGCATATCGCCCTGATTAGCCAATGGGAAGGGTAATGGAACTACACTAATTACCATGTTTCTCTTTTATTAGATAGGATTATCAACTCTATTTCCTATGCTTTATTTACTTTTCCATGACTATTTTATAACTACCAGTTTTTATTTCTTTTTAAAATATTTTTATTGAGTTTTAGAGCAAGGAAAGAAAGGAGAGGGAGAGAGAGAAAAAAACATTGTGGCTCAGTGGTTGAGCATCAATCCATGAACCTGGAGGTCGTGGTTTGATTCCCAGTCAGGGCACATGCCGGGTTGCAGGCTTGATCCCTAGTGTAGGATGTGCAGGAGGCAGCCAATCAATGATCCTCTCTCATCATTGATGTTTCTATCTCTCTCCCTCTTCATTCCTTTCTGAAATCAATAAATTTTTTTTTAAAAGAAAGAAACATCTATGTGAAAAAGAAAAATTGATTGATTGCCTTCCTTATTCACTCATAGCATTCTGCTTAAGCTTCTTATTGAGCATCACTTGTGATGCATCCTAATTATTCATGTCTCCCCCACCAGACTGTCAGTTCTGAAACTGAAGTCATATTCCAGCCATCCTTATGTACCTTAGCCCTCTAGCAAAAGAGCTGAACTAATAGTTCTTGAATTTGGATGCTAGGGAGAATGGAAGGACAGGTAGATGGACAAATGATAGAAAGCAATGAAGAGACTTAGTCTTCCTGAAAGAAGTAAGTTATTTTCTCATGATAAATTAAAAGAAAATGCAAGAAAAATACATATATGTGTATATACATATATATGTATATACATATATATGTATATATATATTTATTTATACATATGTAAGTATATATATATATATATACACACACACACACACACACATATATATGTGTATATGTATGTATATCTACACATAGTGTACACACATATACAGCTGACCCTTAATGTGGGGCTGAGGTGCTGACCACCTGACAATCAAAACTTCGTGAATTACTTAATTCAGTCCTTTGCATAGGGGTTCCTGACCTTGGTTGCAGATTCCTAACTGTCAAGGTGACCCTTGAACAACACAGTTTGAACTGCACCAGTCAATGATAGCACAGGTTAATTGTAAAAACAAAACCATTTATCAGTGGACTCATGCAGTTCAAACCTGTGTTGTTCGAGCAACTGTAGTTCATAGTGTGACTCTAAAGCCATGAATCTCTCTTACTAGACAATCATTAGCAGCAGTGGTACCCGATAACATGTTTTTAAGGACTGATATTTTCTTATTTTGCTTGGACCTAATTCTGTACTCTCTCCGTATTCTAGAATGACAAAGGTCTTCGGCTTGTGGCCAATTCAATGGTGTGGGTTCCGGAAGGGGGAATGCTGCAGATTACCAACAGGATCTTACAGGCCGAAGCCCCAGGTGCCAGAGCCTCAGAAATCATCTACAAAATTATGCAGGACCATCCCCAGTTTGGTAACTGCTCTTTCCTTTCCCATGATGTCATCACTGTGCTCAGTAGTCTTAGACTTGCTTTTGTAAGATGCCATACAGCAAGGTTGTGACTTCAATGAACTTGACTTTCTAATACCTCCCACTTCCCTTTTAAAAACAGGATAATCAAAAGAACCGCCACACTGTACATATGTTATATACTAGGTAGTATGCTCAGTAATATAAACATCTGTATATAAAGAGCCAGGGTCTGTCACATCCAAAACGACCAGAGGGACGACCGAATGCAGGCTGCACGCGAGGCAGGCTCTGGTGGGTGAGGACTGGTGAGTGGGCTGCATTGCTGTCCTGGGTCCTGGCCGCCTGTGGTAGAAGTAAGTCCTGGGTCCTGGAGCAGTGGCAGGGCGGGGGGAATTTCCTGGAGCATGGTGGGGTTGGAGGAGCCTCACAGAGCAGTGGTGGGGCAGGGGGAATTTCGTGGAGCGTGGCAGGGTGGAGGAGCATCATGGAGCAGTGGTGGGGTGAGGGGAGCCTCGCGGAGCAGTGGCAGGGTGGGGGGAGCCTCAAGGGGCAGTGGCAGGGTGGAGCAAGCCTCGTGGGGCAGTGGCAGGGCAAGAGGAGCCTCGCGAAGCAGTCGAGAGGCCATGACCATTGCGGAGTGTCCCGGTGTGGGGAGCTTCACGTAGTGTTGCAGGGCGGCAGAGGCCATGTGACTGAGGCCAGGCTAGGCCTAGGGACCCTAACTGCACACAATTTCGTGTGCGTTGGGCCTCTAGTCTCTCTCTCTATATATATATATTTTGAGCCAGGGTTCATAACGACCGAAGGCTCAACCTAACTCTGGAAGTCAGTGCTGGGTTGCTGTGGTGACCCAGCACTGACTTCTGAGGGGCTGCAGATTAGGCCTGGAGAGAGGCCTGCAAAGAGAGAGGCAGGGTCTGATCTGCAGCCTCAATGGCAGCTGTTGATCAGCCATTGCCTCTCTCTTTCTCTCAGGGCTTTACCAGCAGCCATGACTCTGTTTCTCTCTGGGCCTCTGCGGGGCTCCTGATCAGCCCCACCTCTTTAATCAGGCCCAGAGATAGGCCCGGAGATACTGTCTGGCATAGAAACCAACCAATCAGTTGGGTGAAGTGCCAGGAGCCAATGGCTGCCTCATAGATGGAGCTTTTGACGCTGACTAGCATAGAAACTGACCAATCAGAACCTAATCTGGGTGAACTACAAAGGCAGAACATAAGGTGGGGAATGAGGAGGGGTTTTAAGGGCAACAGCTGTTTGGTGTAAGGTGTAAGAAAGAGGTTCATTTTTTTAATGACCGCTTTGGCAGTATAGTGCATATGGCTGGCTATCAGTCCAGATAAGGGATTATGTGTTTTTTTGTCTGCCAAGAGCATCTCCTCCTGCTGAAAAAGGCTTTCCCCCCACATTTAAGCAATCCTATTCTATATAATCTATCCTATCTAATAAAATAGTAATATGCAAATTAACCATCACTCCACAACAACGATGGCAGCACCCATAGCAGCCGGGGCAGGACACTGGTGGCATTGCCCTGGCAATGTGAGCCCAGCGTCTGCTCCTTGGCTGCGCAGAGGGAGGGGAGGTGCCTCTGGCTAGAGGCCTGGAGTGGGACACTTGGCTTACATTGCCCCTGACTTCTGTGCCCCAGCCTCATGGAGGGAGGGGAGAGGCCTCTGGCCAGAGACTGGGACGAGGGACGCTGGCATTGATGCAGACCAGGCTGAGGGACTTCCCTTCCCCCCGTGCACAAATTTTTTATGCACCAGGCCTCTAGTCTATACTAATAAAAGGGTAATATGCTAATTAGACCGGGTCAACCGGCCATCTTCCAGACGTCCGACTTCCTTCCAGACAAAGCCATGGTGGTAGGGGCAAAGGCAGAGGCAGTTAGGGGCGATTAGGCCAGCAGGCAGGTGAGCAGTTAGAAGCCAGCAGTCCCAGATTGTGAGAGGGATGTCTGACCACTGGTTTAGGCCCGATCCCTGCGAGGCCCAGGGCTCAGGCAGCCGTGAGCCCCAGCGGCTGCAAGGTTTGGGGCTCAGGCTTCGCAGCCACTGTGGCTGGCAGTGGCAGCAGCAGTGGGGTGATGGGGATGGTGCCTTCCCCTGATCAGCCCAGTAGCCTCCCACAGAGGAAGGCCAGACTGCAGCTTAGACCTGCTCCCAGGGAGAGCAGGCCTAAGCCATCAGTAGGACATCCCCCAAGGGGTTCCCAGTTGGAGAGGGTACAAGCTGGGCTGTGGGAACCCCCTAACCCCCATGCATGAATTTTGTGCACCATGCCACTAGTCCTATATAATAAGAGAGGGATATGCTATTTAGCCTGGATATGCTAATTAGTCATGATCAGTATTCAAATTGACCATCACTCCAACACAATAAGAGAGGGATATGCTAATTAGCCCTGATAGGCTAATTAGTCACAACCAGTATGCAAATTGACCATCAGTCCAATACACAAGATGGCTGCCTCCATGTGGTCAAAGATGGTCACCCCCACGTGGCCACAAGATGGCCAGCAGGGGAGGGCAGTTGGGGAGGACCAGGCCTGCAGGGGAGGGCAGTTGGGGAGGACCAGGACTGCAGGGGAGGGCAGTTGGGGGTGATCGGGCCAGCAGGGGAATGGTTAGGCTTTGATCAGGCCGGCAGGGGAGTGGTTAGGGGGTGATCAGGCTGGTAGGTAGAAGTGGTTAGGGGCAATCAGGAAGGCAGGCAGGCAGGCAAGCGGTTGAGAGTCAGCAGTCCTGGATTGTGAGAGGGATGTCCGACTGCCCATTTAGTCCTGATTCCTGCCTAAATGGGCAGTTGGACATCCCTTGAGGGTCCCAGATTGGAGAGGGTGCAGGCTGGGCTGAGGGACACCCCCCCTCAGTGCATAAGTTTCATGCACTGGGCCTCCAGTACTATATAAAAACCTAAAATTTAAGTTTAAAAGGACTTTATTTTATAGAAAATACTAGAGGCCTGGTGCACAACATTCGTGCACTGGGGGTAGGGGGGCCTCAGCCCGGCCTGTGCCCTCTCACAGTCCAGGACCCCTCGCTCCTTACCGCTCGCCTGCTCACTGCTCCTTAGTACTGCCGCAGAGGGGGGAGGGGCTTCCGCCACTGCCACTCGCCAGCCATGAGCCCGGCTTCTGGCTGAGCAGTACTCCCTTTGTGGGAGTGCACTGACCACCAGGGGACAGACAGCTCCTGCATTGAGCGTCTGCCCCTTGGTGGTCAATGCGCATCATAGCAACCAGTCATTCCACCATTTGGTTGATTTGCATATTAGGCTTTTATTATATAGGACTAGTGGCCCAGTGCAGGAAAATATGTGCACTGGGGGGAGGGTCCCTCAGTCCAGCCTGCCCTCTCTCACAGTCTAGGAGCTCTCAGGGGATATCCCATGGGGAGCGGGCCTAAGCCGCAGTCTGGCCTCCCTCTGTGGGAGGCAACCAGGCTGATCAGGAAAAGGTGCCATCCCCATCACCCCACTGCTGCTGCCACTGCCGGCCATGGTGGCAGCGAGGCCTGAGCCCTGGGCCTTGCAGCTGCTGGGGCTCACGGCTGCCTGAACCCTGGGCCTTATAGCCGCCGGGGCTCAAGGCTGCCTGAGCCCAAGGCTGCCTGAGCTCTGGTCCTCGCAGCAGCGGTGGTTTTGTCTGGATGGACTCCGGAAGGCGTCTGCCCTAATTAGCATATTACCCTTTTATTAGTATAGATAACATGCTAAGAGTTGCCCACCTAATATATGCCAGTTTAATTTCAAAGCTCAGGCTTTCAACTTGTGTCCCTCCCAGGACATCACTAGACTTCTTGATGAGACTTTCTATTTTACTGAAAAGTTGCAAAAATAATATAAAGAGCTCTCGAATACCCTTTCTCCAGTGTTCCCCAGTGTCAGCATTTTACATTATCATAGAATAATGATCAAAGCCCAGAAATTAATATTGATACAAAAGTTTTAAGAAAAACTTTACACAAAAACATTTTTTAAGATCTCCATTGTTACTTGAACTTCTAGCAGGATAGTTGAGCATTATAATCTGAAAAGTTTTCCATCATTATCAACTAGAAATGCTGGATAAAAGATTATATGAATTATAAGGCATTCATAGCTGATTTTGCAAGGAGAGAAATAAATCTTGAAGTGTCAGAAACAAAGAAGGAACTAAAGCCAGTCTGGGCATGCAATGATGAGAAGGCTTTCCTGAGAGGAGCTGTGTGTGTGTCTGAAGAACCCAGAGGCTTGGGATTTAATGCCTACGCAGAGACAGAGACAGTAAGTTGTAATTAAGATCCTTCATAAAACATGGACTTACCTTTAGTTACAGAAACAGAATAGAAAACAAGAAGCTCACCAGCACAGAGGACTTGCAAGGAAATCTACATGTTTTTTTTTTTTTCAGGGCTCAGAGTAAAGCCAAAAAAAGTCTGCTGAGAATTCAGAACTTCAAGCCCATTTTTCTTGCAGATCCAGAATTAAGTTATACTGTGTACATTGTTTGAGAAACCCAGGGCCAAGACATTAATATGAAAATTAATCTCAGACCGATGATACTTCTTGGGTTTCTTACAGAAACTAATAGAAACTACTGTAGAATGTCCACCCTCAATTCCAGAACACTCAGGATTCTCACAAATAATACCACTGAAGATTAGCTCAGAATTCAAAATTAGAGAACATACGATGAGGAAACCATAAGTAAAATAGAAGATTAAAACCCTAAGGATTTGAAATAAAGGAACAATCTTATAAAAACTATGAAATAAGTATATCTAAAATCATGTAAAGCCCAGCCAGTGTGGCTCAGTGGTTGAGTGTCGACCTATGAACCAGGAGGTCACAGTTTGATTCTCAGTCAGGACATACACCTGGATTCCAGGCTCCATCCCTAGTGTAGGGCATCCAGTAGGCAGCCAATCAATGATTCCCTCTCATCATTGTTGTTTCTATCTTTCTCTTCCTCTCTGAAATCAATAAAAATATATTTTAAAAAATGATTTAAAGAAAAAAAAGGAATTGAAACTGTAAGGAAATAAAAAACTGCTATAAACATAAAAGAATAAGCAGATAGATTTTTACAAAGAAATAAATAGATAATCTGAAAATGAAAATTATATTCATTAATAGTAAAAAATTTGCTTGGCATGTTAGAGGAATGATTTTTTTTCCCTCTAGGTTATCAGATTTTCAAAACTATATACTTTCTATAGTAAAGAAAAATTAACTTTTGTATAATTTTAAAAATAATTTTAATATCCACAAAGATATAATATCCAGTGATATAATTACAAAGCAGTAGGTCTAGCTGAGATGTCATTTATTATAGTTGTGTAACCTTGAGGAAGGCAAGTGGAGCCATAAGTTTCTTTGAAAGATTAAACTAGATATTTTTTAACTTTTTATTTTAAAGTAATTTTGGATTTACTGAAAAGTTGCAAAAATAATATAAAGAGCTCTTGAATAGCCTTTATCCAGTGTTCCCCAATGTCAGCATTTTACATTACCATAGAATAATGATCAAAGCCAGGAAATTAGTATTGATACAATACTATTAATTAGTTCACAGGCTTATTCAACTTTGCCTTACTTTCCCCCACCGATACTAAGCTAGATGATGTTTAAGAGTTTTCTAGCTCTAAAAGTCTTTGATATGCTTGGTGTATTACATTCTCTACCTTATCTTGATTATTAAAAACCAAAGATTAAATTTTCTAGTGACAGCCCACTATTCCAATATTCTGTTTAAGTATTAAACAGAAAAATGCTGAATTAAATTATTTTAAGCCATTTCAACTTGAAAAATACCATGTAGGCTTGACTGTGACCCTTTCCTACTATAACTCTCTTGATTAACTTCTTCCTATGAACATAATCCTCTTTCTGTGTCCAGAGCTCTGTGTTAGTAATAAGCAAATCACATTACCCTTGTGAACCATTCAAGAGTAAAAAACGTGGTGGGAACTAGAAGCACACCCAACTTAAATCTACTTACACCATCTAACCCAGGGGTGTGAGGTCTGAAGCCTTTCCCTCTTTGCCACCCCAGCTACTATATACTCACTCAACACTTTAGAATGTTCTAGTTGGATTTTAGTCTCTTTGTGAAGACCCAATCATGGAATGGAACAAAATGTAAATTGCTGGTATAGTCTGTGCATAAAGGACCTACCTTCAACCCCCGGCAGACTCCTCACTGTTTTCAAGTATACATTTAGATAAGTGGATTACTACTTGCATCTTTAGCTACTTCACAGGTTAGAAAGTCAATTTAATGAGATGATTTTAATGAAGTATCTTCAGTATCATTTGAAGAAGAACCTGACTTAATCCAGTACACTACCAACTCTAAATTATTTAGCATAGTGTAAGAAAACTCTACTATAAATGATCTCAATCCCAAATGAATTCATGGTGATTTCAATGAGATCCCAATTCTTAATGCCTATTAAATTTTTCCTTCAGAATTCTTGGTTAAAATATAGATGTCAGTATAAAGGAAATCTGAAGTAGAGATTATTTTCTTATTTTTTTAAACCCACATTTTCATATATTTAAAGGGTCATCTTCTGATATTTGTCATCTATACTAATAAAAGGGTAATATGCTAATTAGACCAGATAGACCAGATGTCTTCTGGATGTCATTCCAGATGTCCTTCCTGACAAAGCCGGGGCCCAGGCGTAGCCACCTGGGATCCCTGGTGCCTGTGGCCGGCCGGAGGAGGGAAGCCCAGGTCCCAGGTGCCGGAGGAAAGCTGATGCTGGCAGCCGGGGGAAGGAAGGCCTACTCTTGCACGAATTCTCATGCATTGGGCCTCTAGTATTACAATAAAAGTGGAGGTGAGGTACTACACAAAAGCCCTCACCTCCCTGGGGTGAACCCTACAAAACACTGGTATTTCTTCCTGTCTACTCATGGACTTGTCACAAAGGCACCTTTTATTCAACATACCCAGTGCTGAACTCTTCATCTTCCCTCCAACCTGCTCATCCCCGTCAGTGGCATCACTTGCCTACCCATTGCTTCACTCGTAGGTGATTCTCCAATTCCTCCCTCTCATCCTTCACAGCCACATTTGTCAGGTCTGTTACTTTCACTTTCCCAGTGGCTCTTGTGTCTGTTTATTTCTTTCCACTCTTACCTCTGTTGCCTTAGTTCAGGTCCCCATCTCTCATCTGGATTTTACAGTAGCTTCATAATTGGTCATACTGTCCACATAAATGTTAGCTACTATTGTTATCATTTTTTATAGAATCAAATCCAGTCTTTTTAACATTGGACTGGATTTCAAGCCTCACTGGTGCTCTGTATTCTGATCATGTACCTTCCATGTTCTAAATCATTTACCTACTGAAAATCTCACAGGGACTCCTAATTGCTTATGCAGGGGGGCTGATCTTCAGGAGAAGGAAGAACATTTTGCTAATTGTTGAATTCCCCAACCTTAAGGGCCTACCACAGCAGCTAGCACCTAACAGGTATCCATTGACTATATTTACTAGGTTGAAATTAATGGAGTTAGCCAATATCCTAGGATGCCTGTTAATTTTCATAGTATGACAATGGTTTCCTATATCTTAAAAATAGGTGTATTCCATTGTTAGGAAAAGTCTGCTTAGCCTTTACATTATAAAACAGAATAGCTAGGAACTTGGCATTTAAATATTTTCTATCCTCACTCTCCACATTTTCATTGTGGAAATCTTTTAAAATAGTTTGCAGCTGTACTCACATTCATAAACAGTCCACATCCTGGAAGAGCATGTTTATTAGTAGCATCTTATGAACAGAAGCTGAACCAGGGAGAGACATGTAATGGAATTTGTGACTTAGGTACAAATGAGAAATAATACAAAAAAAGAAACTAGAGTGAGTTGATTCTGCACACGATTATGTAAAGAAGAGTACTGCTATTTTTTTCTTTAGTATTTCATCATCATCCAGGATATTACACTGATTTTTAACTTGAATTTAGTGCAGATAAATATTAGAATGGGTATTTCCTTTGAGAAAAAAAAAATAATTTCTAGGGTGCTCAAAGTATGTTATCAATTGCCCAGTATGTTTAGTGTATTAAGATCTGGGTATCCTCTGGGTATCATTGTTAAACATGCACAGTTTCTCTCTCTCTCTCTCTCCCTCTCTCTCTCTCTCTCTCTCTCTCTCTCTCTCTCTCTCTCTCTCTCTCTCTCTCTCTTTCTCACACACACACACACACACACGCACACTCACACACGCTTAGAGGATTAGAGAGGCTTCTTTCGTATTTGTTAGGTGCATTTTCATGAGAACACAGTTTCTATTTTCAGCAGTACATCCATTCTTCTGTTTGGTCTTCACTTGAAGGCATATTCTCCTTGTGAAATTTTAATTGTTTCTATAACACCTCTGTATTTGCAATCTCACTTTTAAAAGCTAGTAGCTTCAGGTGAAGAATAAGCAATAGAAACAGATTGGCTGTTGGTAGTGGTGTTATTTAGATTTCCTTGCTTCAATTCTAATGAAGTTTAGAGAATGAAGGAGGAGAATGTTTATCAGGGTAAATATTGGCCTGTGAACACAAAATAATCATGATTGTTAACAGAGTTTCATGACCAAGAATATGAGATTAGGATTCAAATCCCAGCTGCTCCACTTATCATTTGTATGACCTTGAACAAGTTATTGAACTGCTTTGAGCCTAAAGAACTTTGTCTTTAAAATGGACATAACAATAGCATCTTCAGAAGAAGTAAAAACATAATGAGAAGGATGACCGACATTTTTAAAGCACCTAAGAGGTATGGATCATTGTTCTTGTTTCATCAATGATGAGCAGAGCTTATAGAGCATAAGTCAGCTCACACAGTTGGATGTGATGGAGCTGGGTTTGAACCACCACATAAAGTGCTTCATGCAGTGCCTGCCATATGCATTCCCGTATTAGCTGTTATTATGTTCATTATACAGATTTCTCACAATGATAACTTTTTCTGAATTTTTTTTCTGATTTCCCATTGTGTTTACACCAAAAACTTTCTGGTTGGAAAGCATTTTCTGTTCATAGGAAGTTGTGGGTAGAAATGAATGTAATTTCCCAGTATTTAAAGATTTGTTTTCAGTGTTCATGGCTATTTGGGTCTCCTTATGTAATTTTAATAGATACAAGGTAGTACTTTCATATATGAATTAACCTTAAATACTTTTAGTTCTTTTAGCTAACATACTGGGAATTCTTTATCTGAAGATGGGTTCAATGATATCTATTGGATTCTGCATTCATGTTCTTCCCTTTACCTTATACAAGAATACAGAATTACATCATTTCTTTTCTGGGGGGGAAAAAAGTGGTAGAAAGGAGATGAGAGCTCTGACTCTTACTTTTCTCAGGAATCCTCACTAACTCTGTGGCTTTTGTAGGGGAGGTGGTCCTTCTGGTTAATATGCCTGCAGACAGCCCCGCTGAAGAAGGCCAGCCCCTGCCTGATGGGAGGACAGCAACCCCCACCAGCACCTTCAGCCAGCAAGACATCAACGAAGGCATCGTGTGGTACAGGCACTCAGGAGTCCCAGCCCAGAGTGACTCCTTCCGCTTTCAGGTACCCTTTGCTTCCTGACTTTTCTGATGTCTGAATGGTCTGATGAAAACCATCACTGTTATTTATAAGCAACTTGGGAAATTTTCTGTGATTGCCTAGAAATCATATTTGGGGGAAGAGGAAATGTAACTAATAGTATTGAGAGATATTTTTAATCTGCTAATTTAATCTTATAAATATCTCTACAAGCAGAGTCATTTTACAGCAAGGAGATTTATAATAGATAATGGCTAGAGTGTTTAGGAAAATAATGTTTCCAGAATATTAAAATACTTCTTTTAATATAGTCTTATTTTCTTTTTTTCAAATGTTTTTGGAACATTTACCATCTTCTGATAAGATCATAGACTTGATAGCCAAACCCAGTGGGTTCATATTTTAGTTCTGCCACGTATTAACTAATTTTGGGGAAAATTACTTGGAAAAATACTTGTGCTTCAGATTCCTCACCTGTAGAATAGAATTATTGTAAGGATTTAATGAGTTAATACATAGGAAGCATTTAGAATACTGCCTATCACTAGGTAAGGATAGTTACTACCATCTATAAAGATTGGTCAGATACCAGTACTGTCAACTGAATGTTTGTGTCCTGAAATAATTAATATCTTCATATCTGCCCCTCCCCATGTGGTAGGTAATTAGCATTAGATGAGTGGGATTAGTACACTTACAAGAGTCACAGGGGAGCTGCTCCCCTCTCTATTCCCCACCATTGGCCTACAGTGAAAAGACAGCAGTCTACAACCCAAACCCAATCCTACTGGCACCCTGACCTCAGATTTCCAGCCTCCAGAAGTAGGAAAAATACATTTCTGTTGTTTATGAGCCACCCAGTCTGTGGCATTTTTGTTATAATAGTCTAAGCCAGCTAAAACAACCAGATCATAGGAAGACTGTCAATAAATGAAAGAACAAGAAATGGTACTGGGGATATTCTTTGGTTATTATGAAATACTAGAGGCCCAGTGCACGAAATTCATGCACTTGGGAGGGGGGGATCCCTCAGCCCGGCCTGTGCCCTCTCACTGTCTGGGAACCCTTGGGGGATGTCCAACTGACGAAGCCATCAGTTGGACTTCCTTAGTGCTGCTGTGGAAGCAGGAGAGGCTTCCGCCACTGCCATTGCGCTTGCCAGCCGTGAGCCTGGCTTCTGGCTGAGCGGTGCTCCCCCTGTGGGAGTGCACTGACCACTAAAGGGCAGCTCCTGCATGGAACGTCTGTCTCCTGGTGGTCAGTGTGTGTCATAGCGACCGGTTGTTCCACCTTTTGATCAATTTGCATATTAGCCTTTTATTATATAGGATAATTAGAAATCCATTTAAAAAAGGTAAAAAAGTTCAAACCATTTGGAATTTTTAGAATAGTCTCCCAAATAATTATACTTCTTAAAGGAAATCAAAATAGCAAACTATTAAGAAATAATGATGAAGAGGAAATAAATTATCAGTACTTCAATGATCTGGATAAAATAACACTCAAGTAAATTGATGGTCTTAAGCTCTTATTATTGAGCAGAAGATCATGAAAATAAATCAACTAAATATTTAGCTCAAGAAGCTAGAGAACTACAAAGGAAACCTAAGGAAAGAAAAAAAGGAAGAAATTAATAGAGATAAGCACACAACTAATTATAAAATGCTAGAATTGATAAATGAGTACAAAACCTCATTCTTTGGAAAGACCAATAAATTAGACAAACCTCTGTCATGGACAAATTGGATATAAAGAACTGAACAGAAGTACAAAGAATGAGGGAGTATGAATGAGAAAGAGCATTTAAACATAGATACAGAAGAGAATTTGGGAAAATGTAGAGAAAATATAGAGATGCATTCATGATGATCACCCAAAGCCCCTCTGAGTCTGAGACTCTTCTTTTGTCTCGAATCCAGCTGGAGGTAAACTACCCAAATAGCTCACCTTGTTAAAATTATCATACATTCTGCCTCCGAGGCCTGGGGTGCACATCCTCATTGCTTGACTAATTTATATGATATAAAAGATGTGCTTTTCCAGAGAGCAAGTTGAAATAAACTTGGGAACCATTAAAAGGAGATTTTACTAGCACATTAATGTCCAATGAGTGAGAGCAAACATTTGCCCTTTACTGGAATTAACTTTTCATTTTTAGCACCTGGGGACTCAGCAGTCCTCAAAGAATGAGTCAGAATGGAGGCAAAGACCTCAATCAAAGAAGTCACCTCAGCAAACTAGAATCCTCAGCTCTGCCTTTGCCGTCCTAGGCCTGAGGAAGAACATTATCAACATGGAGCATTTCCCCAGAAAGGGATTCTCAGCACCTGCTCATAAAGATATTTGATTGCTTTTGCAAGTTGGTTACTAAGTGGGTAATTATAAAATAGCTAAATTTACTGATCTTTTTTAAACAAACTCACTTGAGTTTAAGACATTCTGTTGAACATCATTACTTAGTAAGTGGTTCCCTTTGAAGAGTCTTCACACATTTTGCTCAAAATGTGTTTAGAACTCCTATTGGAAATCTCCTTCCAAACCCATGGGATATTCTGAAGAATATCCTCAATAGTGACGGTATGGCATCCTTTGGAAGTAGATTTTAAAATGTAACCATATAGCCATTCAGAATCATGTCTGGTATGAAGAAGAGAGTAGTAATTACTTTGGGTCAAAACAGGGAGTAATTATGAAGTAACAAGTTCAAAGTGATTTTTGAACTTGCTTGGAAGGCATTTCAAAAGTGCATTTTGAACACTCACAGCGTCTTTATTGCACATATGAAACAGCTCTCTGAGATCCTGTTCTCCTGGATATAAAAGGTTTGGTGTGCTTGTTTTTAAAGTCTCATTGTTTTATGGACTTACCTCATATTCTGATTTGAAATGACGCAGACAATTTAACTATGTGCCAAAATAAACAGCAACTTTTCCCATTCATTTTAATGTCCCTCAAGGATTTTAAACTAAAATAAAACGCTGTTTTCATGATTCTCCTTTTTCTTCCCTTTTTTTCTTTCAAGCAAAACTTGCAATACAATGAGTTGCATCAATTTCATTTCATTTTAATGTTTATGTGCTGTCATGAGCCATCAATGCATTCCATCTGTTACTTTGCCTGTAAGATGTGGGATTTATGTAATGCTTGTGGCTTTTCAAAATAAAGCATGGCATAGGGAGAAGAAAGCACACACACTTATGTCACTTTTGGCCTGGGCAGGGGCCCTGGTCTTGATATATTCAGATCATGTTGACATAGCCTCAGGGGATGTTGTTTTAAAAAGACCAACATGGTTCACACCAGTATCTTGACTAAGGAATCAAGAACAGATTCCCTTGCTTGGCAATATACTCACATTTTATTACCTGCATAGCGTTCTTCAAGAGATGGGAGAACACGTTTTCCTAAAGCTTTGAGATGGAGTCATCTTGGTCAGTAGGAAGACCATGGTCCGCTAACCTGTTAAATACCAACCCTTTTGTTTTTGTGTGATTTTTGACATTTTGCTTAACTTTTTTGAGTGTCAGTTTCCTCATCTGTAAAAAAGGAGATAATAGCCGAAACCGGTTTGGCTCAGTGGATAGAGCGTCGGCCTGCGGACTGAAGGGTCCCAGGTTCGATTCCGGTCAAGGGCATGTACCTGGGTTGCGGGCATATCCCCAGTAGGGGATATGCAGGAGGCAGCTGATTGATGTTTCTCTCTCATCGATGTTTCTAACTCTCTCTCTTTCTCCCTTCCTCTCTGTAAAAAAATCAATAAAATATATTAAAAAAAAAAGGAGATAATATCCACTTTGTGGGTATTATATATGGTGACTTTTGAGAAGTAGCTAGCCCATGATAGACATTTAGTGAATTATAGCTGTTGTTACTCATATTATATATAGTGATACTGTAAGATGGCGCCTTGACAACCTGTAGATATTATGAATGTAAGCTCCAGGCACTGGATGTGATTAAGATGCAGGGAGGACAGTTTTTAAAATTTCTTTAAAAAAAATAGTTTATTGATTTTTTTAGAGAGAGAAGAAGGCAGAGGGAGAGAGAGAAACATCGATATGAGAGTGGACATCAATTGGCTGCCTCCAGCATGCTCCCTACCAGGAATGAAGCCCACAACCCAGGCATGTGTCCTAACAGGGGATTGAACCTTCAACTCCTGATGCACAGGACAACACCCAACCAACTAAGCCACATTGGCCAGGGCAGAGAAGACAGTTTTGTTGTTGTTGTTGGCCTAACTGTAGAAGACATAAGAAAGGGCTGCTATTTCTGCCTTTTTTTTTTTTAGAATGTATGGCACCCTGCTCCCTCTCATATGAAATTAATGCAACTTCACATGGCCACACAGACCTTAGCAATTCTTGCAACAAGCCTCAGCTGGAGCAGACCACAGAGAAGAGAGTGTGAGGGAGCAGCTCAGTAGCCCTGAAGGAGGGGAGAAGCTGCATTAGGAAAATCATCACTGTTTTCAGCATTTTTGAAGCAAGAAAAATTTGATTTTGTGATCACTAATTATTATGACTCTTGCCTTGCAGTGATTAGGCTATGATGTGTCATTTATAACCTGATGTGTCTGTGCTTGGGTACAAATTTTAAAAATGGAATAAAAATCCCATATCTAACATGTGTTGTGTGTGCTCACAGTGAAGCATTAGGCAGCTATCAAAAATTCTGTTTTGAAGAATATTTAATGTATTATGTTCAGTAAAAATTTATAGGACACAAATGAATATAGAGTTTGACATATGGATAGGAAAAAGATTAAACTAAAATGCATCAATGTGTTAATAACCACTATTTGTAGGTATTGTAATTCTAGATGATTTATTTATGTCATATTTGTATTTTCCTGCATTTTCAGGATTGCCTAAAAGGATTATGTCTCCCTTTGTAATGCAGGAGCAGATGGAATTCAAAGACAGATATTTAAAGGTGGTGCAGGGGGATAAATACATGCAACATGCTCTGTCCAACTGAGGCTCACCAGTAGGACGTTTCTTTCCAGGTTTCCAGTGCCACCGATGCCCACACCCACCTGGAGAGCCGCATGTTCAACATCGCGATCTTACCACAGACGCCTGAAGCACCTCAGCTCTCTCTGGGAGCGTCTCTCCATATGACTGTGAGTTGGTTGGGAAGACTCTTGGTTTCTGAGGCATGTTGACGGGATCTGACAGAATGACCTGTTTTTTTGTATCTGGTGAATGCCTGGCCCAGAACCCAGACCATACCACCCTGTAAACACATTTCTCCTTGACTTGAAAAAGATACTTCAATTCCCAGAGTGACAGGAAACAAAGATGGAATTCACCTCAAACTCTTATCCATTGCTGGTGTCCTCTTTTCAGCATCCCAGATTCACAGGACTCCTCCTTGAGTAGTTAGAAGGGATTTCAGGCCTATATCTGTTTAATCAGTACCTTTTGAGTATAATTACTCAGCTAGTTATAGCTCCATATAGCTGGAGAAACTGACATTCCATTTCTTAGAGCCCCATTAGAAGTTTCCTTTCTGTTATCAACATTTCCCAAAGTAGCAGATATCTATGCTGAATCCAGAGAGATAAGTAGCAATTATCCAAGTGAAAGTTTGGGGGGCAGGTGATGGCAAAGGGCACTAAAAGACATAAAACATAAAAACAGCACATGCAAAGACCCAGAGGCCAGCGAGAATATGATTGTTGGGGAAAATTGTAAATAGTTTAATAAGACTGGAGAAATGAGGACAGCAGAGGAGAAATGGTGAGGATGGGGAGGCCATGAGCTCCATCGCAAGGGGACCTGCCTGCTGTGTGGGAAGAGCATGGGTTCATGGAAAGGTGTGAAGTGAGGTGACAGCTATATTAGTTCAGACAATTAGCTGCCCCACTGAAACCCTGTATCTAGGGGCAGGGGTGATGCCAGGACCCCTCTTTAAGTCAGAGTCACAGCATCTAAGACTGCAAATGAATCATTACGGACCTGCATTTTAGTCAGCGCCCACATAATTACACTCCAAAATGTATCAGCCTTGAGCCATGACAAAGAAATCACCTGTAGTTTTAGAAATTATGGGTCTGGGGCACGACAGAGACATAAAAGGCGAAATAGGAGGTTTTTAATGAATAGCTGATATCGGCATTTCCACTGTAAACCATAATTTAAAGAAATCATAATTCAGTAGCACTATAAAGTCTATAATTCATCATTCTGACTGGAGGAACTTGGATTAGAATTTCCTTTAAAATGTGAAGAAAAATGTGCATGCATGTTTTTTGCCAAGTGCTAATGGACTGTTATTTTGACTTTAGAGGGGGAAAAATGGGCCAGGAGCCACTAAGATGGCGCCGTTCCCACTCCATTGCTATGGACCGCTAGACTTTTCAAGCTCCTTAACCTTTAGGGTCTTATATTGCTAGTTTTCAAACTAGATCTGTCCAATTTAGGATATCACAAAGGTTAGTTTACCATAAAATGCAATTAGCCTAATCTTCAGTGCCATAAAATATACATAGTTTGTATTTCTTTTATTTTTTTTAATTTTTAAAATATATTTGTTTATTGATTTCAGAGAGGAAGGGAGAGGGAGAGATAGAAATACCAGTGATGACAAAGAATCATTGAATCTTGCATGCCCCCTCCTGGGGATCAAGCCTGCAACCTAGGCATGTGCCTGACTGGGAATTGAACCATGACCTCCTGGTTCATAGTTGACACTTAACCACTGAGCCACACAGACTGGGCTTCAGTCATTCATATTTGAGCCCCTAATTTATGCCAAGTGCTAGAGAAGACATTGGTGGTTTGATGACCATAAAATACGGTCTCTATTCTTAAGGAACTTAGAGTCTAAAATGGGAGAGGAGCGAAATAACAAACACTGACAATATAATGATACATGCCATGACATGGACATGATATGGAAGCAAATAAGAGACACCTGATCCAGTCGGGGGTGGGGGTGGCAAGGTCATGGAAGGCTTCCTCTGCGGGGGGGTGAACAACGCTGGTTGAAGTGAAAGATTGTCTCTAAAGCAAGGTCTCAAACTTCAGCCTGCACTAAGATCACCTGTAGCGTTTGTTACATCACATATGGCTGGAGCCTACCCCAAAGTTTTCTAATTCAGTCCATCTGCTGTAGGGCTGAAAATTTGAGTTTCTAACGAGTTCCCAGGTGGTTCTACTGCTGCTGCTCTGCTTGAAGAACCACTTTAGAAATAGGGGGGCATTCATTGTAGACAAAGGAACAGCAGGTGAAAAAAGGTGGGGATGTGGGAGAACATGACATGTTGAGCAATGAAAGTTCATGTGGCCAGAGCATAAATTCCTAGGTGAAGAAGAAACAATATATGAAAGTCACATCATAGAGGAGCTTAAGATAAAATGAAGGGATTTCCACTGTGTCCTGAAAGGCTCTTGGGACAAATACTATGTAGCTGACAGGCAACCTGATCAGATTTTCAATGTAGGAAAGTCATTCTGGCTGCAGGGTAGAGAATACTCTAGATGGGGACCAGATAGGGAGCACAGAAATGCACCACTGCAGTCATTTAGAACAAGAAGGTTAGTGGCATGATACCATGCAGTGGCAGTAAAGATTAAGTTAGTGAGATATTCAAGAGATACTTGTACATCCATGCTCATTGACGCATTATTCACACTAGCTAAGAGGTGGAAGCAGCCTAAATGTCCTTTGGCAGATAGATGGATAGAAAAAATGTGGTATACACAACAATGGAGCATTATTCAACCTTTAAAAAGGAAATCCGGTCATATGCTACAATATGATTGAACCTTAAGGACATTGTACTAAGTGAAATAATCCAGTCACAAAAAGACAGAGTCTGATGATTCTACATGTGGGCTATCTAAAATAATCGGACTCTTAGAAACAGAAAGGAGAATGGTGGTTGTCCCTGTGAGGGTAGGGGTGGAGGTGGGGAGAGGAAAAAGGGGAGTTTTGTTCAATCCATACAGAGTTTCAGTTTTGCAAGTGGAAAAACTTTCTAGAAATCAGTTGCATAACAATATAGTTAACAGTACTGTATTATACACTTAAAAGATTTTAAGGTTGCGGCGGGGGGGGGGGGAGGGGGGACATTAGAGAAAGATTAAAAGATATTTACAGATATCCTGGTCAATTAGATGTGACAGGAAGGTGAAAAGCCCCAATTTCTGAGTATTTTAAGAGGCAATCACCTCATACCTCTCAGAATGGCTACAATCAACAAATCAACAAAATGACAAGTGCTGGTAAGGAAGTGGAGAAAAGGGAACCCTAGTACACTGCTGGTGGGAATGCAGACTGGTGCAGCCATTATGGAAAACAGTGTGGAGTTTCCTAAAAAATTACATATGAAATTGCCATTTGATCAAGTGGTCCCACTTTTAAGAATATATCCTAAGAAACCCCAAACACCAATCAGAAAGAATGTATGTACCTCTATATTTATAGCATCTGGAAACAGCCCAAGTGCCCATCAGTAGATGAGTGGACAAAAAGTTGTGGTACCTTTTCACCATGGAATACTATGAAGCAGTAAAAAAAGAAGGCTCTCTTACCCTTTGAGACAGCAGTGAGGGACCTAGAGAATATTATGCTGAGCAAAATAAGCCAGTCCCAGAAAGACAAATATTACAAGATCTCACTCATATATGGAATCTAATGAACAAAATAAACTGTTAAACAAAATAGATCGAGAGACATAGAAACATGGGACATACTGTGGAATCTCAGAGGGAAATAAAAAAGAAATCAAGTTATCATCCACAAAAGCATTTTAAAGAACCTTTAAATTATATATTTTCACATAATAAACTTTTTTTTTTTTTCAAAAAAAGAAGCCATTCATTGAGATAGAAATGTATGAGGACTTTAGGGGGAAGGGTGGAAATCATGATGAGTTCCATTTGGGGTGTGTCTGTTAAGGGTAGTTAGGAGATCAGTAGATATTCTGGGTGAGAGATAAACTATTAAGAATCACTAATGGTTTGTAGTGGTTAACTATGAACATAACTGGAACATAACTAAGAAAGATTGAATAGAGTGAAAAGCAACATAATCAAATACCTATCTAAATTGAAATTGGTTCTGTGGCCTTTCTGTAATTATGTTATTCATCAAATCTAAGATCCTCTAAATGGGATCTTATGGTTTAATTTGCAGTGTTCATCAGAATTATATGTAACACACATATATAAGATATGTATATAAATATGTATAATATTATAAGATACAGAGCTATATAAGTACATATGATACATATACATTTAGGATACATAGTATATATGGGCAAAACATGCATATTTAACAATAAATATCATAGCCTAGATAGTATAAGATTATGCAAATGAGTTAATAGATTCACGTCAACTCAAAGTTTTCCAAGTAATCATCCACTATTTGACTTGGAAAATCCTTAAGGACAAAACTTTTGATTAATTAATCTTTTTAAAAAATATATTTTTTTATTGACTTTTTACAGAGAGGAAGGGAGAGAGATAGAGAATTAGAAACATCGATGAGAGAGAAACATCGATCAGCTGCCTCCTGCACACCTCCCACTGGGGATGTGCCCGCAACCAAGGTACATGCCCTTGACTGGAATCAAACCTGGGACCCTTCAGTCCGCAGGCCGACGCTCTATCCACTGAGCCAAACCGGTTAGTGCTGATTAATTAATCTTGGTATCTTCCTCAGCATCTCACACAATGCCATATACAAAGTAATTGCTTAGTAAATATTTGCTGATTAAGTGAATATTTTCAGACCTATTTTCTCATAATAACTCCCTAAACTGTATCCCCTCCAAATTCAAATAAATTAATCATATAGGCATACACACACACAATTTGAATATCATGTTTCCCATTCCTTTCTTAAAGGGCAAATAAATTCTATTATCTCTTCATGTGAAAGACACATTATTTATTAGTTCCTTTTTCAAATGGTTGCAATACTCAGGGTTGGGTTGGCCAAAGTCACCACTTGTGGGAAAGGCCTTGAATAAGCTTTTCTTTCCTGGTTTCCTTTGTTTTCAGAGTGATTGCTGTAGCAGAGTTCTCTTAAGACCACTCTATTAGGCCCAGCAGGGATCTAGTTAGATGATCTCTTTTGTGATGCAGACTCAAGTCTGGGCTTGCTCTATTTATTGTGTGGCAGCCAGCTTCTGTGTCCATGTTTATACTTGAGACCTGTCAAAAACTAATAAGATTATTATCTGCAATCTCGGGAAATGTTTGTTTACCCTTGGAATTCTTGCTGTGCTTTATCTGAGCCTTTCACACCACTCAGAATTTCCTACCTTAGATTTATTTATGATTTTCCCCTACAAAAAACTAGAATTCCTTGAAGAAAGGGTCTATATCTGATTTATCTTGTATGTCTCACAGCTCTTTGCTTGGTACCTTGCACGTAGTAGGTTCTTAATAAGTTGCTACATGAATATATGAATGAATTAATTTGCTGTCCTAACTAATAAACTATGGAAGAAGATAATTTATTGTAGGACCTCCATTTTATTTATCTCATCTCATTATTCATGGGTGCCTGATTTCTGAGGCCCACTGTGGGCTTTGGTCTTTAATAGAATGGCAATCAACATGTGAAATTGATCTTTTTAAATAGAGGGTGAAATGATAATGTTTGTAAATCCTGACCTAGAAGTTTAAGTTATGCACACTTTGCTAAGGCTTAAGTGTTAAAATGTTTGTGTCCCCATCCCCCATCCAATTCTTCAGGTGACATTGAAATGCAATGGAAAGTATTCTAAAAAAGTTACTGAATATGTTATTATACAAAGTATTTTATTATTTTATTTCTTAGCTTAATCTTTTTATGATGATATGTGTAGGGAGCGGCTCTAGAGTTAAACCTCAGATTGACCTGTGGCAGAGCCACAAACAAATCCCAGCTCAGAGAGCAGAACCCTCTTAGCATAATTAAGCTTGACCTTATGATGCTCCCTAGATCCTTCCTGGGTAGCTAATGGGCTGTGGGAGATGCAGCAAGTGCTGCCAAAACAAGTGAAACTCACAAGAACATTGTAACTATGTTTACCACTACCTTGTTTTTCTCTGGCTATAAAATCAAGCCTCAGCTTGCTGGCTGGATCCTTCTCTGTGGCCTCATCCAGGCACAGGAGATCCACCAGCCCCAGCTGTATTCTCTTTGTCTGTCTTTTCTTTAATCCTTCACCGCCCCTACTCAGGCTCACCGAACCCTTGGCTGTGCTGGCACGGCACAGATATGTTTCATTCACTCAACACATTTTTATCAAGTAATGATATGTGCCATATGCTAGGTGGTTGGGATCCACCCACCCATAAATGAACACAATCCTTGTTCTTATGGAGTTTGCATTCTCTTAGGTATAAGTAATAAAATAAACAACTCACTTATAGCATGTTAGTGAGAAGTGTTACGGTAAAACAAAATGTAGGTCAGGGACAAGGGTGTTAGAAATGCAGTGGTGGGAGCAGAGGAGACCTATGTTGTAATTTTAAATAAGGTGGTTGGCATGGCTCAGTGGTTGAGTGTCAACCTATGAACCAGGAGGTCACGGTTCAATTCCCTGTCATGGCATATGTCCCAGTTGTAGGCTCGATCCCCAGTGTGGGGCGTGCAGGAGGCAGCCAATCAATGATTCTCTCTCATCATTGATGTTTCTGTCTCTCTCTCCCTCTTCCTTCTCTGAAATCAATAAAAATGTTTAAAAAAATAAATTAATTAATAATGTGGCCAGGGTGGACTTTATTAAGATAATGACATTTAAAGAAAGACTTGCAGGAAGTGAGGGAAATGGCCACGCACATATTCAGAAAAGAGCATTCCAGGCCCAGGGAACCATGCGTTTACAGGCATCCAGTTGAGAGCTTGCTTAGATGTTCAAGGAATGCCAAGAAAGCCAGGAGGGCTGGAGCAGAGTGAGTGAAAGCAAGTGTAATTGACATGAATTCACAGATGTGCTAAGTGTGTGGGCGAGCGAAGGGGACAGGTCATGTCTGGCCTTGCCATTATAGGGATTTCGCTTCTATTCTGAGTAAAATGGTGAGCCAATCAGGGTGTTGAGCAGAGGGCTACTGTCCTTGTTAAAGGGATCATGCTGACTGCTGTGCTGAAATAACCTGGGGGCTGTGGGATGGGGCAGGAGAGCAGCTGGGAGGTCATCCTGGAAACCCAGCAAGGTGGTGGCAATGGCCGTGGGGAGAAGTGGTTGGATTCTGGATATATGCAGAAGTAATGAGTATTATAAAGTCATTATTCTGTAAGATTCTCTTGTTGACAGATATTTTAATAAAAAGTGCCTTCTGTAATGATTTCTATGAAATTCAATTTCTCATTTCTTACTATGTTTAATTGATGAGTATTAAACATTCCAAATAGGCAATATTAAAATTGATTATACTTTGATACATCTCAACCTTAATATTGCTTTCTTTGGAGAATTAAGTCCTTTTTCTACCTAGTGTATATTTCTATTAGTAGAGAAATAGTATCCATAAATTTCATGGATATGAAATATCAGTTGCCTTGGCTGGTACATATTTCTCTTTTCCATAGTCCTATGTCCATGCTAATTCTCTCTCTTCTTATCACTTTATTGTTTTAGGAACATCTAGATTTTAAAAAATATCTCATAATACTCAGGATTTGCAGTCATTCTGATTGTTTTGAGATTACAAAGGAGGCAAACAGACCGAACAATATATTGAGCCTGCACCTTTTTGTCCATGTATCTGTGCACACACACGTCCACATTTATAGCTGTGTACACACATTCATGGGCTGTAAACACCTTATATAGGGCATATGTTTTTAATTTGTTGCCCTTACTTGTTTTATTTTAGGGTGAGACACCATGTACTATTTTGCAATCCTGATTTTCCTTGCTCTGTACATTCCAGAGCCGAGCAAGGGCCTGAAATATGACTCCTTACGACAGGAGGATTGTCCTAACCTGCTACTGCTGCCTCTCCCCAGGACAAGTATGCCTTGGGGACAGTTAAAAGAGCAACTGTAACCTTCAATCTTTTTGTGGTTACAAGGAAGAACACCACGCCCTCCTCCATGAGAATTACTGAGCCCTACTTTCCCAAAGAGGGAAACTTCTTCTGAAAGAAGGAAAGCTTTAAAGAGCAGGAGAGGCTGTCAAACTCTAACCCTTCAGGGGTTAGGAAGAGCCTGCAAAGAGCCTGATATTTTCGTTCTGATTTATTGACAGCTTGTGTGACCCAGTCAAAGGGCCCGTGCTCACATTACTTTCCCCTCTCTTCCCTCCACTGTGTTTTTGCTGCTGTCCCCAACTCACTGTTATGCCTGGTCAAGGGATTCTGCGTCTCTCCCCCTGCCCCCTTTTTAGAGTGTTGTCACTGTTAGTCGGTGATGGATGTTCACAGGTGAATGAATAGTAAAAGCTACGTACACATTGGCCTTCTGATTAATTTTGCTTGAGTCTTCATTGGGTTCTGAAAACTAGAAGAGAAAAGCAATATCTAGTTAATTTGAGTAGTAGCATGGAGACAAAGAAACATTGACTATTTCATGATTTACTTTAATAAACAAATAATTCTTAAATCTCTGAATTCAAATATTGAGCCTCTGTTGGTTTTTGAGTTCGTCTTTAGACCTTGAATCCATCACAGTTTCAAAAAACACACAAACCAAAGCAGAAAGAATCAAAGTTCCTGTCAGCAAGGCTGGGGAGGGGGGCGGGCAGGTAAGAAGGAACTTTTTACCAGATGAACCTTAGCTCGTTAAGTTGGAGGAGCAAAGATGTAGCAATCCAGCTGTGAATACTAGAATATCCAGCTGTGGTGGCTCATTCTCAAACCTGCAGCACTGTGAGCTCTCCCTCGGGAAAGTGATCGTATTAGGATTCCCAGAGCATGCATCAGCATAAACCTGGGGCAGAGGGCAGGGGGGAGAAGAGTCAGGGTGCAAGAGGCCCTAGAGAGGACTCTAATCCTGCGAGATTTCTAAGGCTGGGACCAGTCTGTGGTGCAAGAGACCAGCCCCTTCTGTTGAACTCTCAGAGAAAATTTTGTTATGTGTGACTAATTTAAAAACCCAGAGTGAGTTTGTTTTAATAAGGTTTGTTTTTGCCCCTGACCATTCTTCCTTCATAAACTTTGTTTAGGCTCGGGAAGATGACCTGACTGTGATTCAGCCCCATTCTCTCTCTTTTGTCAACTCTGAGAAGCCAAGTGGAAAGATTATATACAATGTCACTTTACCTCTGCATCCAAGTCAAGGTAAGATGTGCAGTGAATGATCTCTTAAATGATGTCTTCTAGCTGTCGATGAGTCTTAAAAGCTCTGGAGTTTTGTCCGCTTATACTTGTTGAATTTTCAGAAGTAACAATTATTGCTACTCCTTGTTCCCATCCTGTGATTTTAGAACCAATTGAGAAAGAGAGAGACATCGTGGTCAGACCTATGGAGATGAATGTGTCAACTTTGGTATCAACAGAGTTGTACTGGAGAACATAGTGTGCATATAACTTCATTCACTGGATTGAGCTCCCTGGCCTGTGCACAGGCAGAATTGGACAGGTCTGTGTGGACAGAGCCTGCCCTGGTGTGGTTATAGGTGAGCAGGCCAGAGAATGTACTAAGGACAAGGAGCTCTGCCAGAGAGTTCAGAGGGGACTGAGCCACCCATACTCAGTCCCTTTCCCAATTGGATAAGTCTCTCCTCCTCCCATAGGGGATCATGGGAATGTGGAACTACAGTCAGAGAAGAGGTGGGCCCCTACCATCAGTCCTCAGCCTGAAGATCTCTGCACGCTGGGTTTAACTAATAGGCCTATGCCCAAAGAGAGGTGGTGGAGTGATCAGCTTCTATTAAGATAATTCTGCTTCTGTCTCTCAGACTGCTCTCCCAAGACCAGTCCCTGCCCTAAATGTAAGCCTTTCAGATGATCAAATTCCCAGGGAGAAGTCAAAGTCTAAAAATTCCATTACCCTTTTGATAAAATCCAAATAAATTAAAAGTCTAAAAGTCTCCACCTACCATTTTTACTCTGCTAAGTCATAGCTAGACTCGTTCTCCCTGTGTTGCCAGGGAGAGATGAAGTACTTTCAGACTTGCGTCCTGATGGACTGTCTCTCAGCCCTTCAGAAGTTGAATTAGTCCAACACTAAGCCTCACTCATGTCCTCCTATGGAAGAGGTAATAAGACATGAAAGATGATCACAGCATCAGTTCTGTTCCTGAAAAATTTAGAAATGACAGGCAAATAGACAGCTCCTAAAGCATTTATCACAAGCAATGTGATCATTGTAAATCCAGGTCTTAGAATAGTCAAGACTCATGTTACTATTGCCAGAGATCATCACAGAGACTAAGGAGTTCCTGAAAGAAAGAGGGCAGGTGAATAAAAATCTCTCTGCAGCTCACCAGGAGACCAGTCTGTGCCATTCCCCAGTCACCTTGACCTTTGAACTTAAACTCAATTGAGAGAATCTCATAATTACAGTACAGTGTCTATGACTTCTGCAGAATTACCTGGGCTCAGCTACAGTAGGGGCAGTTTGTGTCTTTCTATTGTTTATAGTCAACGATTCCTTGTCAAGAGTCTATTTGGGTTTCAGATTTGCATTTTCTTGAATAACAGGAGAATAGTATACCAAGAACAACCTGAGAGCAGTAGTTCCTGAAGGATAAAAGGCTCTTGCCAGTGGGAAAGGCAGCTGATGTCTCTGGTGATTCAGTTAGTCATCCAGAACTACTGCTGATGCTCATGTCCAGTCTCCTTCTCCCCAGGTATCATCGAACATAGGGACCAGCCCCACTCTCCCATCCGGTATTTCACACAGGAAGATATTAACCAGGGCAAAATCATGTACCGCCCTCCCACGGCAGCCCCCCACCTCCAGGAAATCATGGCCTTCTCCTTCGCTGGTAATGCTTTCTTCTCTATTGTCAGGCACCTCAACTATCCTCTGTGGCTCTTCATGGCAGGCTCACCCTAACTCTTCCTGTCGTCCTCCTGGGTAGTTTTGTGATGTTGCTTTGTAGCTGTTCAAAATAGCTTGAGACTCGCAGGTTAATATGTACCTTGGGCTCAGTTCATCCCTTTTCTTAATTCATTCATGCATGCAGAAATACCTTCAATAAATATTTACTTTATGCCTACTATGTGGCAATGAGGCCTTGGATATCTAGTGATAAGCAAAAAGAGGCATGAATCCTGTTCTTGGCGACTTTGGGGTTCTAAGTACTGTACAGAGACAGAATTTGGTAAATAATCTCAGTAATGAATGTTTAGTTGCAGGCTGAGATAAGAGCTCTGATAACTGGTGGAATTAGATGTAACAACACTGATTTAGACTGAAGGCTCAGTGGAGGCTACCCAGCATGGTATGGACCTGGGAGAAATAGGGAGAAGCTAACTAGGCTAAGTGTGCATATTGGGGTTGTTTTGTTATAGAACATTCCTGAAGAAAGGACACATACCCCTTGTGCAGAGTCCCTGGTGAGGGAGCGAATGTGATATTCTTGGAAGTGAAGAAAAGTCCAGTGTGTCTGGAATTTGGATGGTTGAGCAGAGTGGGATGGGTCTGGAAGGAGACAGAGGCCAGACCTTAGAGGCTCTGTACACTTATAGAGATTTAGGTCTTTATCCCAACAACAAGAACCCGGTGGAGGGTTTAGGATCTAGGAGGATGTCTTTTCATAAGGAACTCTTCACCTGCAGTGATATGAATGGATTTGAGGAGGAAGCCAGGGTGGATGGACATGTGGGTGAAAGGAATACAGTGAGAAGGATCCCGCAGTGCTTCAGGGATGATCCCATATAGGAGTGGAGAGTGCAAGTGAGCTTTTGGGATTAAACACGGATTTGTCAGGAGGTACCTTTTTAAAGGAAGAGAAGGCTAAGTAAAAGAATAACTGAATTTTTAAATCAAGCCAGTATGTGCCCTGCCACTACGCCAAGATAGCCTTAATCCCTACTGCCTCCGGCCCCCTTATGTCTCTCCTTGACCCAGTAATCAGAGTGCTCCTGGGAAAGCAGGAGGTTGAGTCCCTATCCTAAATATTTTTGTGCCTCGAAATGATTCTAAAAATCTTGAAGCTATTTCTTTATGATTGTTAAGGTATTTGTATTACATAATACAACTAATATACAGTATTATTTTTATATGGTAACTTTGATAATATGGAAAAGCCTTTAATTTCTTATGATGAGTTGAACATGGATAAAATAATTTTAGAGTTCTGTTTTAAATTATGGGCAACATTTAAGTAATAATTGTCATTATTTATATAACTATAATTGTCTAGGACATGATTAACTACTCAATTAGATTAAAAATCTCTAAGGATAAGGGTAGGCCACTTCTCTAAGGAGTATCCCTAGTATTGAGTAACTGGGTAACCAATAGCCCATGAAAATGTTCATGGTTCCCTAACCCCTACTTTATAAGACCTACTTTACAAGAAACTCAGGATATCCTGGGATTAAAGAAAAAGAAAACATGTCAGCCATGGTTGAAGTTATTTCCATATCCATTATACTCGCCTGAGTTCCTAAAGCCTTTTTAGAGAGAGCAGAATCCTGTCCTGTATAATCTATGGAGTAAATGCCATGAGATAAATCTCTCACACTGTTACAGTGTGTAACTCATTGTCCCAGGCATCACTCAATTCTACAATGGAATTGACCCACCAGACAGCCTTGTCAGTGATATATGACTTCACCCATACTCACGGATTTGTAAGGTTTTATGTACTGATAAAATGGGATCTGAATGAATGTATTATAAATCACTCTGACTACTGTGATATAAAATTATACCACTTTGTGGTTCTTTTGGTTACTTAAAATTAGTGGTGACACTAATTTTAAATTCAACATAACATTATCTAATGGCCTGGTAGCCTTTCCTTAAACTATAATAATTTAGATAAAAACATCCTTTACTTTTCTAACCTTTGCCACATATTTTATTCCTTCCCCATCTATTTCTGACCTCAAAATGTTTAGTACACTGATTTTCTCTCTTCTGTTCTTGCAGGTCTCCCAGAATCGGTGAAATTCCACTTCACAGGTGAAGATTTTAATCTCAATTTTATTAGAAAATGGAATTTTTCCTTTCCTTATTAGTCCTTTCTTTTTTTTTTTTTTTTTTTGCTCCCTTTATCATCACTTTTAACTAAGAACTGCTTAAAAGTTACATGAGACAAGTTTCTTCTAAAATAATCACAGGGCTAGTTAAATAGTCATACCTTAACTTTCTATTCATAGGAAAAACAATCCACCAAGGATACCAAAGGTTAGTGTTGTTTGAGTCCCATTTCAACTTGTTCAAATACCTATTAAAAACAGGTAATAGTGCCCTGACCGGTTTGGCTCAGTGAGTGGAGCGTCAGCCGGCAGACTGGGGGGTCCGGGGTTCGATTCCAGTCAAGGGCATGTACCTTGGTTGCAGGCACATTCCCAGTGGGGGGTGTTCAGGAGGCAGCCATTCAATGTTTCTGACTCTCTATCCCTCTCCCTTCCTCTCTGTAAAAAATCAATAAAATATGTATTTTTTAAAAAAAGAGGTAATAGTGATTAAGATGATAGACTCTGGATATAGGCTGTCTGGGTTTCAGCCTACTCTGGGAAAGTTTCTTAACCTCTCTGTGCCTAAATGCCTCATCCATCAGTGGGGAAAATAAGTCATGATTATATTTATGTAAAGTTCCCAGGACAATTATTGGCACATAATCATCTCTATGTGACCTAATGGAAGTGGTTGTATATAGTCTTAAATAGAGCCTTTCGTTGAATACCTTGTTATAGGAGGGAGAAGTGTTATGGCCCAGAGAGTGAGTTGTGAAAGCTGTGCGTAGGAGACCTCAGCATCCCAGCTTTAGTTCACAGTCCATTAGAAGCTGAGTGCCAACAAGCAAAAACAGAGTTGGATCTGACATCTATGCTGGGCAAAACAGAGACAAGCATTCTTGTTTAGATCTAAAGTGAGGATGGTTGATTATAAATAGCATCCTTAAATAGCTGTCTAGTTAGGATTGACTATTCTATTAGAATCAACCATCCATATGTCCTGTCACTTTTCATGTAGGTATAAATCTTGGTGGGAGAGAGAATCACCTTCCTCAAACTCCCAGACCTGCTGTTTTTTCTTTGAGGGTTAAAAATCACACTTGAATCAACAGTAAATTTTAATGTTATATCATGTTTTTAAATTTTTATTGAGATACTAGAGGCCCGATGCATGAAAATTTGTGCAAGAGTAGGCCTTCCTTCCCCCAGCAGCGGCACCAGCTTCCTCCAGCACTCGGGACCCGGGCTTCCCTCCTCCAGCCACCAGTAGGCACCCGGGCCCCAGGATGCTTCCCTCTTCTGGCTGCCCACAGGCACCTGGGACCCAGACTGGCTTCCTTCCGGCCGCCTGCAGGCACCCAGGACCAGGGCTGGCTTCCCTCCGGCCCTGGCTTCATCAGGAAGGATGTCCGGAAGGTTGTTTGGCTGTTTGGTCTAATTAGCATACTAGCTCTTTATTATATAGGATTATTGATATATAACATATTAGTTTCAGGTGTACAACATAATCAGTTGATATCTGTATATATTGAGAAATGATTACAATAAGTCTAGTTAACATAAGTTACCATATACAGTTGCAAAAGTTATTTTCTTGTGATGCGAACTTTTTCATTGAATTTACTGGGGTGACACTGGTTAATAAAATTACATAGATTTTTAAGTGTGCAATTCTCTAATACATCATTTGTATATTGTATTGTGTGTTCATCACCCCAAGACAAGTCTCCTTCCATCACCATTTATCCCCCCCTTTACCCTCTCCTACCCTCTTTCCCATTGATAATCACCATACTGTTGTCCAGCTGAGTGTTTTGGTGTTTGTTTGTTTGCTCAATCCCCTCAACATTTTTATCCAATTCCCTCCCCTCAGTTGTCAGTCTATTCTTTGTATCTATAAGTCTGTCTCTATTTTGTTTGTTAGTTTATTTTGTTCATTAGATTCCACATATAAGTAAAATCATATTGTACTTGGCTTTCTCTTTTAAAACATTTTTTAAAGAAAAAAGAGTAAGTCTTTCAATTATTGTACAAGCCAAAACAATGTACAGAATTGTCTTATTTCACTTAGCATAATACTCTCCAGGTCCAGCCATGCAGTTTGTAAAGAGTAAGATTTCCTTCTTTTTTATGGCCAAGTAGTATTCCATTGTGTAAATGTACCACAGCTTTTTTATCCACTCACCTACTGATGGACACTTGGACTGCTTCCAAATCTTGGCTACTGTAATTAATGCTGCAATGAATATAGGGGTGCATATATTCTTTCAAATTAGTGTTTTGGGTTTCTTTGAATATACTAGTATTCTTAGAAGTGGAATCAATGGGTCATAAGGCAGTTCCATTTTTAATTTTTTGAAATAACTTCATCCTGCTTTCCACAGAGGCTGCAGCAATTTGCATTCCTACCAACAGGGAACAAGGGTTCTCTTTTCTCTACATCCTTGCCAACACTTGTTGTTTGTTGATTTATTTATTTATTTTTTAAATATATTTTTTATTGATTAAGATATTACATATGTGTCCTTATCCCCACGTTGCCCCTTACCCGCCCCCCCATGGCCTCACCCCCCCCCTTCCCGTTGTCCTTGTCCATTGGTTACGCCTATATGTTTGCATATAAGTCCTTTGGTTGATCTTTCCCCCTTACCCCCACCTTCCCCTACCTTCCCTCCAAGGCCCGACAGTCCAATCAATGCCTCTCCGTCTTTGGATCAGTCCTTGTTCATCAGTTTATGTTGTTCATTATATTCCACAAATGAGTGAGATCATGTGGTATTTCTCCGCTCTCTAGTTCCATCCATGCTGTGGCAAATGGTAAGAGTTCCTTTTTCTTCTTCCTCTTCTTAAAGAATACCTTTCAGCATTTCATATAATGCTGGTTTGGTGGTAATGAACTCCTTTAGCTTTTTCTTATCTGTGAAGCTCTTTATCTGACCTTCTATTCTGAATGATAGCTTTGCTGGATAAAGTAATCTTGGTTGTAGGTTCTTGCTATTCATCAATTTGAATATTTCTTGCCAGTCTCTTCTGGCCTGCATGGTTTCTGTTGAGAAATCAGCTGACAGTCGTATGGGTACTCCCTTGTAGGTAACTGACTTTCTTTCTCTTGCTGTTTTTAAGATTCTCTCTTTGTCTTTTGCTCTTGGCATTTTAATTATGATGTGTCTTGGTGTGGTCCTCTTTGGGTTCCTTTTGTTTGGGGTTCTCTGCGCTTCCTGGACTTGTAAGTCTATTTCTTTCACCAGGTAGGGGAAGTTTTCTGTCATTATTTCTTCAAATAATTTTTCAATATCTTGCCCTCGCTCTTCTTCTGGTACCCCTATAATTCTGATGTTGGTATGCTTGAAGTTGTCCCAGAGGCTCCTTACACTATCTTCATATTTTTGGAATCTTTTTTCTTTTTTCTTTTTCGGTTGGGTATTTTTTGTTTCTTTGTATTTCAAATCTTTGACTTGATTCTTGGGATCCTCTTGTCTGCTGTTGGATCTCTGTATATTATTCTTTATTTCAGTCAGTGTATGCTTAATTTCTAGTTGGTCCTTTTTCATATCCTCTAGGGTCTCACTAGATTTCTTGAGGGTCTCACTAAATTTATCGGCGGTTTCCATAAAATTCTTGAAAAACCTTATAAACGTGGTTTTGAACTCTATATCCAGTCGTTTGCTTTCCTCCATTTCTGTCATTTGTGACCTGTTTCTTTGTCTCCGCATTTTTTATGCTTCCCTGTGTTGGTAGAGTGGTTTTGTGTGCTAGGTGTCCTGTAGGGCCCAGTGGCTCAGCCTCCCCCGTTACCTGAGGTGGACACTCTTGGTGCACCCCCTTGTGGGCTTTGTGCACAGTCTTGTTGTAGTTATGCCTTGATTGTTGTAGGATCACTGGGAGGAATTGACCTCCAGGCCAATTGGGAGTGAGAATCGGCTGTGTCTGCAGTGGGAGAACTTCTGTGCTGAAGACACCCTTCTGGGGCAAGACTTGCTTCAGTGGGGCTTTGGTGTTCACTGAGTCTGCCCCCTGGGTGTGTCCCTTATGGATCTGAGGAGTTGTAATCCGGATGGTCCCCCTCTGACCACTGGGTACACTGGCTCTTGGAGGTTACCCAGCAGGAGCTATGGAGAGAACTGCAGATTCCCCGTCCTTTTTTGGAGTTTGGAGGTGCCCTGATGAGGCCCAGCTGCGAAGCAATGCAAGCTGCTGTGGGGCTTTGGCCTTCTCTTGGAAGTTCTGGGTCTGTGGCCCAGCTGCTGTTTGTTAGTTAATTTTCAGGTTGCAAAGGGCCAGGGCATTCATATGCAAAAGCCTCTGCCGCAGCCTGGGTGGGGCGGGGTCTCAGGGAATCAAAGGGCGGAGTAAGGAACTATGGCGGATTCTCAGCCCTGCCCTAAGGGACCCTGCGCACACGCGTCTCAGTGTCCTGATAATTTAATTGCTGCAAGCACCTCTGAGGGAAAGCCGCCCTCGAGTTCCGAGTTCTGCCAGACAGTCCAGTTTCTCCCCGTATGAGTCCTGGGTCCCCAGAGACTTCCCAGAATCGGAGTTCAGAGCAGTCGGGAGCCTGTGACTCCCTCCCGATTCAAAAAGACAGCCACATCCTCAGGTACCAGCCCCCTTCCGCGCACTCTCGAGCCTCCGTACCTTTGCACTTTACTTCCGCAGCTCCTGACCCTCAATATGCCTTTCTCTTTCCTTCTAGTTGTAGAATTTCCACTCCACCAGCCTTCCTGTAAGTTCTGGATGATGTCTGTTTTGTCTTTTTATTGCGTTTTGAAGTTGTTGTAGGAGGCAGCAATTTCGGTGTTTCCCTATGCCTCTGTCTTAGTTTCTCCAATTTGTTGATTTATTGATGATAGCCATTTTGACAGGTGTAAGACGGTATCTCATTGTGAATTTCTCTAATGATTAATGACATTGAGCGTCTTTTCATATGTCTATTGGCCACCTGTATGTCCTCTTTGGAGAAGTATCTATTTAGGTCTTTGTCCATTTTCTTAATTGGATTAT